AAAAAAAAAAATTCTATATTTTTTTCGTGCTTTGTATGAAGCAATGGATGGAAGATTTCGAAAGCGCGAACGATCTCCAGATGTGCGGGGGTTGTGGGCGCAGGTTCGAGCGCAAAGCAGCCCTGCACTCGCACTCCCAGATTTGCCTGAAGCGGATCGCGCTTTGCAATTCCATCAAGGAAAACAGCAGTAAACATGTGACTGGTGAAGAGGAAAGGAGCTCGAAAGACAAACCAAAATCGAACCCCAACAACAACAACAACACCACCAGCAGCAGTAGCAGTAGTAGCAGTAGTGCATCTACGACCACGATAGCAAAAGGTTCCGAGCGCAGAAAACCTCTCGTACTTCGACGCAACTGTAAATCGTCTTCGAAAGATCGAAGCGATTACTGTGTGAACCACAAGGATAAAGACGATGGTGTAATCACCATAAGCGACGATGAACCTGACGAAGACCGTAAAAGAGAGCAGATAGAAACACAGGTCAAAAAGGAACCGGAAGAAGATCGTGATTTGAAGAAGAACGATATCGAAGATTCGAAGACTTTGACCGTGGCGAATAAGGAGCCGAAAATGTCCGAACTACCGGTCGAAATCATGAAAGAAATCAATTCCAAAATTGCCGAAGTTATCGACCATATCAAACGTAAAAGATTGTCGGCTGAAGATTACGATTCGGGGCCGGAAATGGCCCTTTCCAAAAACGAACCTACTCCTTCCGGTAGGTCAATCAAATTAGAAGATGACGACTGCGTTATAATTGACAACGACGAACAACAACAACAGCAAGAAGACCCTGTGGATTGTAAAACGGTTTTGGAGGTGATTTTGGGGCCATCGTCAGCAACAAAGAAGCCGAAACTAGAAGACCTAAACGCTACAGATGTCAATTCTAGCACTCCATTTACGAAAAAATGTAAAGAAGAAAACGAAGACGTGTCATCACCGTCGTCATCCGATTCGGACGTGTCTTCACCCCCTTTCGAAGCGTTCAATAAATTGGAGAGCGACGACAGTAACGACAGTGCTAGATCTGCTCCCGAAGGAGACAAATTAAAGTCGGAAAAACTGAAAGTTATCGAAGATAATTTTTTGTCGTCCAAGAGACCCGTGAGAAGTCGTACTTCAACTTTGCGTAACGATTTTCTGTATGACGCGGTGCAAGTTAAATCGAAAACTATTCGACATAATAGGGAGATAAGTATAAACAATAACAACAACAACAACAATAATAATAATAAAAAAAAGACACACAAGTGAGCATCCCCCCGATTGTCGTGTGTATTGTAATGGAAATATTTATTTGTTTAATATATTTTTTACGTACTTACTGACTGATTAGACAAATTGTCACAAAGTTACTGTTTCGTTTGCATTTCTGATATTTAAGAATTAAATTATTTATTTTGTTTATTTTCGTTTGATGTTTAGTATTTATAAAAGGAGTCGATAATAAATATTGCTATATTTTTATTTAATTAATTGTTTATTTTTTCTCCCTTCCTTCTTCAAAATTATACCATCTACACTCTACAGAAGTAAATATTAACGATTAAGTAATGGTAAGTATAAAATTAATAGACTTATAAGTTATTATTATATTTGAGCGCAAGAAGTGTGGTCACAAGTAATGTGTCCTAGGTATGTTAATTTTTGGTTGAATTTTTATCAAATCAATACTTGACACAAAAAGGATTTGAAGAAGGAACACATAGATGGCACATAAGTCCACTTTAAGTCTTAATTTTTAGTTGTAAATCATTTGAAACCATTTGAAAGAATGTATAGATAGGTGCAATTTTTAACAGATAATAAATTAAATTAGTAGATAGTAGATTCACCATTGACTGAACTGACTGACAAATCAACATAAAAACACCAATGTCCAATTAAAAAATAATCCAATACATTCTTGTCACTTAATTGATTAACGATTACGTTTTTGATTCAATTTTTCCGATCTTGAATAATTAAAACATAAAAAAGCGCTCGTAAAATTATTGCGAGATAGAAGGTCTTTGTCAAACCTCAAGAATGTAAAAAAGTACGCAGAATCACATGGTACCAATGGGTTTCGAGTGCGGTGCCTAATAGGTAATTTGAGGCATTATTTTTGCTAAAATATATAGAATAACAAGCATAAAAAAGCGCTCGTAAAATCATTGGGAGATGGAAGGTATTTGCCAAACTTCGAGAGGTTATAATTATGTAAAAAGGTACGTAGAATCTCATGGTACAAATGGTTTTCGAGTGTGGTGTCAAATAGGTTCTTCGCGGCATTATTTTTACTAAAATACATAGAATAACAAACATAAAAAGCGCTCGTGAAATCACTAGAAGATGGAAGGTATTTGCCAAATTTTAAGTGGTTATAATTATGTAGAAAAGTACGTAGAATCTCATGGTACCAATGGTTTTCGAGTGCGGTGTCAATTAGGTTCTTCGCGGCATTATTTTTACTAAAATACATAGAATAACAAACATAAAAAAGCGCTCGCGAAATCACTAGAAGATGGAAGGTATTTACCAAACTTCGAGAGGCTATAATTATGTAAAAACGTACGCAGAATCTCATGGTACCAATGGTTTTCGAGTGCGATGTCAAATAGGTACCTTGCGGCATTAGCCCATTATTGCTTACTGTTCATAGTGTAATTGTTTTGCATCATCACTGTAGGTACTAGAAATTTTTGCCTTTTATTTTAATAGTTTAAAACTAAATATGTATTACCTTCGCATTATCCAGAAGGTATAAGGAACAAAAGACGGCGTGAAGGATCGAACAGTTGGTTCACGCTCAGTCGACCGGGATCTCTCACGATAACTTACCTTTACGTCCTTCCTTTTTCTTTTCTACAAACTCTCAAGTCCTTTTAATTTGAATTTATAAGACCCCGGTATCGTAACGACCCCATTTGTCAAGTCAGAGACGATTCTCGCAACGGTGGTTACTAATGCGCCCGATCGGGTCTCAATCCCTGGAGCAAATTTTCGAGAACAAGGGATAGGGTCGCCGCGGATTGTGTCTTTTTGTTGTTCCCTCTCGACGATCTACGGGGACGTATTCTGCGGCTATTTTCCGGCTTAGTTCACCCTTAATTCCAAGGCTTCTAAATTTAGAAAGTGTTGTACAACTTGATCTTATTCCCTCTGGTGTCTCATTTCTTCCAGCCACTTGTTCGACTGGGAAGTCAAAGATAACACAATTACAAGTTTGCAAAATCGGTCAAACAATAATTAACGAAGCAAATACAACATAGATATTTAATGATAAATTTCTCAGGCTTATGCTAAATTCATTTCTCTTTATACTTCATGACAAAAAAAAATTCTATTGAAACTATCGCGGGCTTCCAAATATTTGGTTCCCATCAGCACACGCCGACAAAACACGAGCCTGATGCTATTAAAATTGTAATATTTGCTGTATGTTGGGTTGTCTATATATTATATTTTAAATTGCAGTTTAATTATCAAAAATAATATAAATTAACATCGCTAACTGTATCAATATAGTAGACAATGAATTAAAAGATGAAAATTTATTAGTTTATTTCAATTAATTAGAAATTATGCCCCAACTATAGCTTTTATTTTAAATTGTTCCGGCGCATCCACCAAAATTTTCAATAAAATTTT